GAACATTTTTAATACAGGGACAAAACTTGATTAATGTAAAATTAATATTAAACTCATCATGCTTAAACCTATTATACACATTTAGTAGACTGTGGCCGAGCCAATTGGACACGGAAAGCACCGACAGACCCAACCATAAGCTAACAATACTGCCCAATAGTACCAGAAATTCACCAAAATAAAACTTGGGTGACATGCGATAGGTTAGGGAGGGTAGGGTTGGGAACATTACGCTAAAATTAATTGGCTTTGATGTAGCATTAGGTACGCTCTCCCAGGGGTCGTACCTATTCTTGCCTACGATCTGATAGTACTCTTGATAACAATCTTGATTTTGTCTACACTTATCGACACAACTAACGGACAATTTTTGCGGTAACTTCTGGTCAGTGATAAACAAACTTGAGTTGCGATCAGCGATCAGATAATGGTAGGGATAACTGCCCTTACGGTTGACATACGCCCGGACCAGACATTCAGCCATACAATTGGACTCCGATGTATAGTCTGTGCGCTGAACGCAGGCTGACCGGTATGGTTGAGACAGCAAATGCACCCTGGTCATCTGATACTCTACCGATATGACCTTAAATTTACCATTAATCACTGTGGCACCCTCTTGCTCTGGGCTATTTACAGGTAGGTAACTGGGTTGAATGTGCATGGTAATCTCAGTTCCCAATTCATTACCCGGTAAAGTGACCATATATTCTCGCGATCGGCGTTGTGTCGGATTATTTGAAATCTCGTACACTTTATCCGTCGCATTCAAGCGGGAAAATAGGGTAAAACAATAGTACTCGTTGCTAATTGAGCGTATAATAGGCGAGATCATATCGCAGCTAATATATTCAACATTGTTAACGCTGTGATTTTGACCCAGGGCAAAGTTTGTGGGTTTGGTTAGAAAGCAATAGAGCCCGTCGGTTGTGTTGGCAGGTGGATCTAACGATGCAAACTGGTCCGATATTTTCATCTTGTTTAAATAATTTGTCAACTTTGTTTCATTCAACTCTGGATACCCGAAGTCTTCTTTAATTTGCTCTTCATTTATAAAATTTTTTGCAGACATAGGGTTATCGACGGCAACCTTACGGTCAGCTCGTGTTCGTACCGGATATCAGTCGTGGTCCCATAGGAGTAGTATTGTTGGCAGATGTGTACCAATTGCCAGATACAACCCATAAGGCATAATAGTTTTGCGATTACATCGATGTTTTCGGTAGTCTTTTTAATAATAAACATTTTAAAGTATATTTTATTGTAATTTATTATATGCTTTGTTTTAAAATAAAATTATCAATAACTTTTTGTTGCGTACTAGTTACAGTAGTAACGAATATATACATATGTATATAGTTATTTTATGTTGTTCACTTTTATAACAATTATTTTGAAATAGCATTGTAGTCACTTATCAGAAATATAATAAATATATTAGTTATATTTTTACGTTGATTAAATATTTACAAATATTTTCTATCATAGAAGTTAATTTATTAATATTATTTTCTGTATACAAATAGCAAAAAAGTAATACTTTGCCAAAATTAATTTTATATTGATTTTAGTCTACATTAATTTAATGTATAATATATTACATCATAATAAAAATGTTATTCTACTAAAAACGAGGTATAAATGTCATGGATACATATACTTTCAGTAAACATATACAATGATCTGCATATTTAATGTTTTTTCATAGAAAATAATAATAATAATACTAATAATAAATTAAATATGATATAAAATACTGTCTTGTATTTTTACTCAACATAAATTTGTTTTAATTACCTTAGTTATACAAAATGTAAATTATATTTTATTATAATAATAATTAAATATTGTGTACAAAATAACATAATTAAATGTTTAGCTTGTGTGAAGTAATACAAAATTATGTAATAGATTAATTAAAAAATTAATTAATTTTTTATGTAAACATTATTAATGGCGTTCAATATGTCCAACACATTAAGCATCTTATTTTTTCGTAAGTATCCAAACAATTATTAACCTAATTAAATGACCATGATCAATTAATTACAACACATACATAGTGTGGTTAGGAGTGAGCTATACGTACGGATACGGGAGTAATGGGTGTCAAGATATCGATGATCTACTGTCAGACGTATACCGTTTGGGTGACACTCAGCGCCTGTGGCCCGAAGAAGACGAGGAGTTTCAACAGTACTGTCTGTCAGTTTGCACTTTTAATTAGCATTTTTATAACTTTTGAAACAATAATTAAAAAGCCTTGTTTGTTACCCAATGCAACCTTAAGTTATTTTACTAATACAATGATTTTAATTATAAGTTATAATTTACAACAAATTACAAAACTTTATACCACAATATTTTAAGCAAAACATTTTTAATTAGAACTTTAATACGT